CAATTCTATAAACATCCGATTAACATCATTTTCATATTCAAGCATGTTACTTTTTTTTTATATTTCATCAGTCAGTGAACATATGATCAATTGTGTTCTTATAACAACGCAAATTTCTTTGCATAAAAAAAAACAATACTTAAACCACTTAAATCATAAATATACTTAGAATTACAATGAAAGTGATCATGTACTAGGGCATATTCTTCCAAAAATATATTTGTGTAGCACATAAGAAGTTAAATGCTCAAGCCTCTAGAACAAACAAAATTATTTGAAATTAGTTCAATACATATATTATTGATTCTTCATATGATATGAATATTCATTCAACTTGTAATATTAAAGATATCTTGTCATATTGTAGCACAATCACACTTACTTCTAATAGGTGTATCTTTTGATAGGATTATTGTCAAAATCTGTAAATATGCTTTTTCGATTGACACCATAATGTCATTAAAAAATGCAAAATAATCATTAATGAATGCTTGGGACCTTTTTAGAAAATAGATGTACCTTTTTTGTTGCCATGACTACTTATCTTCAAATGATTCTTGATTATATCATATGAGGAACTTCAACAATTCTCACTGATGCAGGAGTCTTCCGCATTCGTCCCAGATGGAACCAAAAGGAGGGAACTTATCCATCTTGAGCCAGTTCAGGGATTCCAAACCCCAAGAGCTAGCCTGCCCACTTAGTTTCTTTAGCATAAATATGTTGTTAGCTATCTATTTTGAGACTTATAGCTTAGTTTATATTATTGGAGATTGTTTTTCTGATTTTTCTACTCTTAAGTGTTATAATCTTCTTCTGCCTCAAGTGGTGTGCCTATAGTTTAACTACATTCATAGATTTTATTGATGTCATGTCCCTCCTTCCATTCCACGGACGTCCCTCGCTTGCAGTTTTTCCTCCAAGTTGACAATTGTAGCCAATTTTCCCCTTCCACATCTTTGTCAAATCTCAATTTTTTCCCTTTTTATTATTCTACAAACATCTCAAGCTATTGTATCAATCCTCATGCACAATCTAGAAACCCTAAATCGGTATCACTCACATTCTCTTTAAAATAACCATCTTTAATGTTGATGGTACAATCTTATAAGAAAAAAAAATTAGTAAAAAGATTATATGACCAACTATTGAGATTTTATTATGACTGACACATTAATTAATTATTATCTCTATTAAATTAATTTCTCGTGACTATCTTGTAATTTGATCTCTCTCTCTCTCTCCCCGGCTCCCTCCCTCCCTCCCTCTCACATGCTCATTTATATTATTTTTTTAAGCCACCTCCATGATCCCTCTATCTATTAAAATACGCACTTCCCTTGATCTATCTCTTCCAGCCTATTTTCTTTCTTGATACCCTTTACCTAACCTCCCTTTTCTTTCTTAATACCCTGTCCCATCACATTCACATTTATTCAATCTTTCACCCTATTTGTGTATCTTCTTCTCTCTATCGGCCCTATATATTTGTGCAAGCCACTAAGGTTAATTGATATAAATACATTTTTTCAACAGCACAACTCAAACATTGCCTTGATTTATTATTTTTACTATACATCATAATGTAATCCAAAGTTTTTACTGGCCAATACCAGTACAACAAAAGGTATTTTGTAAAAAATCTTCTATTTGAATTTACAAGATATTTCCTTCCCATACACAAAATTTGAAGCATTTTTTGTTTAAGTCATCTAGCTTTTGTTTCAAATTACATACTTATCTATATCACTATCTTTGAAAAAATAACTGAAGATGGTTAAATCTATCACTTCTAAGTATCATTTGATCCTCCATCTGCTTTAGATTGAATATTATTAATTTAACATATCCAAAAATTTATTCCATTTGCTTAATCAATGTTTACTATTTTTAAGCTCTTATCTTTAAACTTTGTTAACAACCTCTTGTCATCTAAAATTTTCTTCTGAATTTTATCATTTCAATTATTTTGAAGATAATGATGATTTTACTAACAGTTAAAATACATGAAATTAAATTTTATTTTGTCTGTACTGAGTTAATCTAAAGACTATATAAAAGGCTGAAAAAAGTTAGGGAAGCATATCCAAGCTAAATTTTTCTCCTACAAATATATGAACCTAATGTTGATCTTTATTGTAATCTTTTGATAAATATAATATTAAAAACACTCCAAAATCTATCCCTACTGATAAATACTCCAGCCACAATTATAAGTGATAGCTTCAACAAATTAGTGTGAAAATTATTTTTTTAGCAACACAGCGCTTTTACTAACAAAAGCATTCATGAGTTGTATATATATATATATATAAAGGAATGGTCTGAGGCTATTATACGAGTCTGGCCATCCCTGATGCGCCTAACAATTCGAGTACCACACCCTCCACCGGGGGGAATTGAAGCCCATACCAAAGAAGACTTACAACTGACAAGTGGGACCCGACCAACTGATCTGACTACGCAGCACATATATATAATATATGCAAACAGAAATAATTTAATTAACCAAACTTAAACAAAACAAAATAATAAATTTTCAGTAAATATATAATACTAACAATAATCTATAACAATTTGAAAGACATAAAACAATTAAAGATATAAAAAATATAAACAATAACATGGTGTAATAATACTTGAAAATTAAAAATATACTTATAAAATAGAATGGCTGGCCAAATGAAAAGAGATGAGGGTACTCTGAAGCCAGAGAAAATGTAAAGATCTAGCATCAAAAGACACTCTTTAGAAAAATCTTGTGAGCAAGAAGCTACAATTGCCAACGATAATAACCAATTAAAAGTGCATAGGAACTATATGAGTTCATATGAAGAGCAAAAACAACAAGTGACTAATCAGTTGAAGAGAATTGAGAATAAAAGAATAATGACAATGAGAAACAGTGAAACGAAACAAACGATTGTAACTGGTTATAATGGCAAATATTCAAACCAAACCACAAAATTTAAACCATATTTTGCTCTGAAGAGAAGCCAAGCGCATCACACTATGATGCGACATGGCAAATTAGTGCAATACATATGATTTGTTGCTAGCTTGCACTTTACAGGCCAGCAATTTGCAGAGCTAGCAGATCATTTTGCTTTGCTCATAAAGTGCAATTCATTGTGACTAAAATTTTTAATCATACCTAAAAAACTCTATTGATCCATCACAACTACTTACGATAGCTTCAACAAATTCTTAGCACAATAATTTTTCTAGTGCATGCAGGATAACGTCCAATTACTTAGTCATATTACATCAAGAGATCGTATGAATATCTTTTTTTTTAACCATATTTTTTTCACTTATTACCCTAAAGTCATTATCATGACAATTAGACTTTATCTTAATTATTTGGGATCGGTGTAAAGAATCCTTATTTTGCATTCGTTTTTATTGTGTATTGTTGCTAAACCTATTATTCACAAATCATTTTAATAATTTATGTCCCTATTAACTTAAATCTAGCTATTTTCCTTCTTAAACTTCTTACGTGTGCATTTTTTGCATTGCATTGTACATGCCCAAATTGATACTTTTATGTCAATCTGATTTTCCTTATCGTTTATTTTATCATTTGATCCCATAATATGTTCCGTAGCATGTAAAGCTTAATTTCAGTATATAGATCACAATTTTGAACACTGAAAATCTTCAAATATTTAGAATAATAATATATTTCTATAATCATCTAACATCTTCAATAAGTTTTTGTTTAAAGATATGTAAAACATATTTTTCCAAAATCTCTCTTGACTCCAGAAAATTAAGCTTTAAATTTATGGTTAATCTCATCAAAACTAACTCAAGTTCCCTTTTTGGTATATAATATATATGTAGAATACTTAACAATTTCCTTAATTTTTCTCTTCCATACTCCTTAATTTCTCAATCAATAATTTCTATAAAATGATTGCTAAGACAATTTTCTGTGTTTAAAAAAGTTTGCAAAACAAAGTCAATCATCCTAGTTTGGTAAGAAAGTAAGGTATAGCAAATAATGTACCATTTCCAAGTGGAAAACAAGAAAGAGCAGAGCAATGACTACTATTGACCTGCTAAGCCACTCATATATAACAAACAGAACGCACCAGCTTCCCCAGCCAAGTATTTGTGTAAACAATAAAAGGCCACATATCAAGTTCAACCAAATAAAGAACACTATTCTTTTTCTTTTTTTTTTCCTTTATTTTTCTCTTTGAATTTGCAATTTTCTTGTAGAGGCATTCATACAATCGAGCAAGAGCTTTTATGTGTCAGAAAACACTTTTTCAGTTGCTTAAAGTCTTGAGATGATATGACAATAGAAGCATACAATATACTGACAGCTGAAACTGCTTGCCAGAGTCTATGCCAGATGCAGAATATGTACAGCATAATTTAAATTTATTTTCAAATCCATAACATAAAAACTTCAGCAAATAATTCCATTTATAGGCAACAAAATAAACTTCTAGTTTTTCACTTCAACTAATTCACTAGCAACCGTATTGAGGATGTCAGAAATGGTTCCGATGTGTCGACTTTTGTGTTTATGAGGCTAAAGTGAATCACTTGTTAATGAAGCAAATGGACATCTCCTATAAATAGATTGGATAAGAAAGCCTTTTATCTATCAGTATGTCCTGGGGAAATTTGTAACAAGCAAATTATTCTTGGGATGCAGGAAGGAGAAAGTAATTAGGGACATTTGCATAAATACCACATAATTCTTATATATTTTCATATCCAATACCTAAACATTTACATTTACATGCATAACACTCAAATCTTTCACATTAAATTAAAAATACTACCATCGCCGTCTTTTTAAAAGTGAAATACACCTTTTCATGCATAGGTTTTTGACACTACGGTGCTAAACATGTAAATATCAAACTTTGGATGTTAGATATGAAAAAACATAAGAATTGTGTGGTATGTTTGTAAATTTCCCAAATAATTATAAATTTGAATATATGATCAGGACATGAGGTTGCATAAATGCATACCTCCATCTTATGCTTCCCATTTAGAGCATCAATCGCTGCAAGGGCTTGATCTTTTGTCTCGTACTTCAAAAATGCGCAGCCTGCTAAAATAAATGAACAAAAGAAAATAAGCAACACTTGCTGCATGAAGGCGGAAATTAGGAAAAATACTAAAATTAGATCAACATAAATTGGCTCCAAAGCAATATGTTAAGGAGCAAACCATACCTTTGCTTGTTTGTGGAGAACCTCTAAGGATCTGCAAGTCCTTAATATTACCATACTTCGAAAACAGAGTAGTAACTTCTGCGTCTGAAACATTCTTCGGAAGCATACCAATGAAAAGTTTGCGTTCTGGGTGGAAAAGTAAAAGTAAATCAGGAGACGAATCATAATAAAAAGGACTACAGTACTAATTGCTAAAATAAACGGGTAAGTTATACTAGAATTGCTAAAATAATACCACAGTACGAATATAACCCACCAAGTCTCTCCAACTCTCCATCAGCATACTTCACTTGCAATGGACTAGAAGCCTGAATCAAAATAAAAAATTGATTAAAATTTACTCAAAACTTGAACAAGAAAAACATTTAATAAACTTGTAAGCTTCAGTTGACGCAGAAAGTATGGGTAGTGCAGGAAAATACGCTCATCATACACAGTAAGCAAATAAATGCAAAAGTGGAGGCACTGTTGAAGGCCACTGATTGCACGTATATCAGCAAGGATAATACGAAAAAAAAAAAGAAAAGAAAAAACATATTAGTAAGAAAAATGTCAATGACTGAAAATATATGAAGCTAAACTTTTAAATTACTCATGTATTGGGGTTCTATTCGGAACTAATTCAAGCAAACTTATTATGTTCTTCAATATGGTGTGTGTGTGTGTGTGTGATTAACCACTGAACTAATTCAAGCAAACTTATTATGTTCTTCAATATGGTTTAAACTTTACGAAATGTTGCGTGTATCTAAGACAGACATAAATAACATGCATGTCTCCAAAAACATCAAAGCATACATTCTTCTCGCAATGTCGCATGTGATGAAACACAAGTTGCCAAATATATAACAAGCAAGCATAAAGAAGAGTCTTTTCTACTTATCAAGATTCATCCCAAAACAAATGAATTTAGCTTTTATTAACTATTTGTTTGGTGAATAAGAACTTGAGAAGCTAAATAATCCAACATGTTATATAAATAATTTGAAAATTTTACATACGTAGCAGACAATTCTTATTTATTTACGTATCACACACCTAAACTTCCATATTTACATACATAGCACCTTGGTGCTTTAAACCTATGCATGAAAATGTGTATTTGAATTTTAAAAAGTGGTAATAGTGCAATTTATTATGTAATATTAAAGATTTGAATGTTATATGTGTAAATATGAAAGTTTAGGTGTGAGATATTAAATGCATAAGAATTGTGTGCTATGTCTGTAAATGCCCCTAACTTTAAAAATAGAAACAAGTAACCATGCAGTAGCACCTACATCTACAGCTCTTCCTCTACAAGAAAGAAGAAAATACTTTTATCAATGTCATTATTTTAGGCATAGCCATGGAAATGTTATAGTTTCTAATAGAACAAAATAGCTAGGCAAATGCATAAACAATTAAGGGAGTTTAGCAGGGTAGACAATACAAAACTTTGGAAAAATAGAAATAAATAAGAATGCAATCATAATGCAGTGGTGTAAGCGTTGCTAGATCCAAGAGAATCTAGGAACAGAAGTAAAAGAAGAAAAAAGTTCAGATTTTTCAGCAATTTAGGAAGATAATTGTTAGAAATATACTACTCATTACTTATTGTGATGCACCATTGCCATGCAGCAGCAAATATAGCATCAGTAGCTACCTTATGAAAGTAATATCAATGAGTCAAAGCATATTTCATAGGGCATTTACATGCACACACAATTCTTATGTATTTACATATCTCACACCTAAACTTTCAAAATTAAACATATAGCACTCACATGTTTGATATAAAATCAAAAATAGCACTTTAACCACTTTGTAAAAGTGAAATACACCTTCTCATGCATCGGTTTAAAACACAAAAGTGCTATGTATGTAAATATGAAAGTTTGGAGAGAGATATGTGAATACATAACAGTTTTGTGCTTAGTATGTTAATTTCCCTTCATTTTTATTTCATTGCATCTTAATCTAATGGATAATCTTTGACTCTTATCTTTCAAAAGAATGTCCATAGTTTCGTTCCTCTTGTCTCAAGAAGAACATTCAAAACAGCTAGAGCGGTTGAACAGTAAAAGTTTCGTAGATTTGTAAATTTTCAACAAAATAGTTCCTGGCCCGAACTACACAGCCTGGGATCCCAATCGTTAAAAGGTAACTGCAATGAAAAAAAACTCTTAAATTGACTAAAATAATTACAATTATGCAGAAAAATTTCACAAATCTTTCCAACTCTACTGCTCGAGTACAATGTCTGAAATAGCATAAGAAATCAGACTGTCTATCGCACTCGAAAAGTCTGATCCATACCATCACTAATTCATCGAAAACAAGAAGATCTACGAGTCAAACCAGCCATACCTACCAGCATTTCCCGTCACAAAACCCAATTTGAAATGACCTAACTAACAAAAAATTAATCAAAGCAAATCCACGCCGGCCAAGAACTTACCCCCGGAAGCGTTCTCTTATTGTGGCAAACATTGACCGTCTTGTCCGCCTCCTGCCTCGACGGACAGATAACGAAGCAGCATCCTGAACAAAACGAACGCATTCAATTCTCAATTAATCACCGGCATTCCGGAGATCCGACGAAACCGAACAGATTGGGATTGAGACAGAGAGAAACAGAGAACTAATAGACAATTTAAAAGCAAAAAATGAACAGTCTAAAATCGATAACCTCGAGACGCCTTGGTAACCCTGTCCTTGATGATGTTGACCTCGTCCACCAAGGCCACCTCCTTGAACATGGCTAAGAGCTGCTCCTCCGTCATGTGCTTCGGAACCTGACCCACGAACAGCTTCAATCTCTCCCCTCCGCCGCCATTCCCACCCCCTTCTCCTCCTCCAACTCCTCCTCCGCCGCTCTTCTCCCCTCCTTCCGCTGCCATTCCCTCCTCCCTCTCCCTCTCCCTCTCCCTCGCAGTGCTCCGGCCTTCTCCCTCTCTCTCTCCCCCACCACCGCCTCGTTAACTCCTCTCGTTGGCTTCGGTGCAGTTGTTGAATTAAAGAATAATGATAACTTAATAGCAGCAGTAGTAATATTTAATGAGGGTAAAGACAATTGGGGGGGAATGGAAGTTTTTATAACTTGCGGATCGAATTTACCCTCAATATGAATTTTCATTTCTACCCCTGGAATCCATCATTTTGTAACTAACTCGTAATGGCTAATGCTGCTTCTTTATAAACAAAGCATTCGTACCTGAAGCTTCCCCACAATGAGCGCGCGCGCGCGCGCGTTGCGCCAGTAAAAATCCCTAGCTCGGATGGAGAATAGCCTAGTATTTATGAAGATTGATGCTTGCTTTGTCTAGTGTAGAATTAGACTAAATTGGTTGTGTATTCTCCCCTAAATGAACATGAAATTAGAAGTGATCATTGAAGTTGAAGTCGGATCTATATCGATGAATCATACTAGGGAACAGAGTGTGAGGAGAGAGAGATAGTTGGGAAAGAATGCGGCCCTAAGAGCACCGAAATTAATACTTCTCTTATACTTTTTTTATAAGAAAAAGTTTTCTTTAGATGTCGTTGCTCTCATATTCATGGTAGATAGATGTTACATTATGGAATTTCGAATATGCCCTCGAGATTCTTTATTGTGGATTGGTCGTTGTAACTGTAATGAATTTTGTTGCTTTCACCGAATATTTCATGGTCGGAATGTCGTTTTGCCCACAACTATGTTGGTATTCATTCATTCGATTGTTTAGTCAGACAGTTTGACTCGATCGGTCGGACCATTTACTCGGTGTCAGCTCGGGGTTATTTGTGCTCGTCGGGGTTCTTTTTTCGCAGTTTCTCATTCAAGTTCTTTGAATTAAGCTCAGTGTGTTTTGTTCATATGTAATTTTGTTCTCTGATTTTCTCATGCATTATTAGGTTGTATGTTGTCATAAGAGCGAGAAAATTAAATGTCAAGTGGGTTAATTTCTTATTTATTTAATTAATTATTGTATGTATTTAATTAAATATTAATAGTTGATACTTCCTTGATTTTTGTGTAATTTTCTGCTTATAAATCGGTGATAGTTTCTTTCTAATTTTGCTTGTTCTTCTCTTACTCTATGCTCAGGTTGTTTTTCAAAGAAACTTCTTATCATGGAAACGTTTCCAAAATCTCAAGTTATCACATGAGTAAAGTTTTGTTTCATGGCCTCTTTTTTCGGGAAAAATGAAATGAATGTCTCTAGGGTAGTCGCAAGAAAAAACTGATTGTGAAGAAAAAGAGGGGCTCACCCTCGGGTTACGTTGGATATTCTAGGGCGACTCTCAGAATTACTTAGCTTGCGGCTAGGGATGTTCTCCGAATGACCACAGTCTTTTGGTCGTCCCACACCTCTGCACCACTCACCACGGTCCCTAGTTTGGCGGAAGACCTAGCTCTCTTGTTGTTTGTTGGTTTGTTGTCTTTGCATCAGAGACACCCACATGGCATATGAATTGATTCAATAAAGGGTATGTTTTTTAGGAAATTATGATGATTAAAAAGGATCAAATTAATAGATAGGTTACTTAATATTGAATCCAAAAATATTTTGTGGATCACACCCAAGGTATAAAGCGTTACACGAATGAGAATAATAGAGAGAGAGAAGAAGGAAAACAAAGTGTTATGTAATTAATTTTGAGAGGATAAATTCAGTATTCCTTTATTAAGAAATGATCCCTTATTTATAGATCATTAGGGTATCTAGTAAATGTACATATTTGTGTTTTAATAAAAATTTTACAAGTCAGTATTACACATTTTCATATTTGTAACTGAATCGGAGACTTTTTAATATATGTAGCTGGTATTGGCACTGTTCGATACTTATAACTGAAACACCACCAACAATTTTTATTATTTAGCACGAATCTCGAGGTAATTTTTTGAACAATAAATATTCGGATTTCAATTAAGTGTCATCCAAAACTCCAATTTCAGCAAACTTGTGGTCAGACTGAACGGCTTGATGAGTCAGACCTAAATGTCGAAGTTAGTTCAATGCAAGTCAAATCAAGTCTAAATCAAGTTATTAAACCACACATAGAAGATTTCTTGACATATTTGGAAGGTCAAACAAATGTCGAATCTAGCAAGTTCATAGTCAAATCGAGCGTCTAAACAAGATAAATTCAATTGGCCCAAGATTGCTAAATTTCGACATCGTTAAGACACTCAAATGTCAATCAAACATCGTTTGACTGAAGAAAACTATTCGGACCATCCGATCAAAATGGTTTATATTGCTGCATTAATTGTACCCATAACACTATAAATAGAGTACCGCCCCTCTCATAAGGGAAAGTTTGAGTCATGAGAGAGAACTTGAAGCTTTGAGAATGAGTTGAAGTCTAGCTCAATCACTCTCACCGTCAATCCTCGTCAGCCGACTTCGACGACCACCGACTTTTGTCGACCCCTACTGACCTCCGTCGACCACCGCCCACATTCGTCGACCCCCACCGATCATCGTTGACCACTGTCAACCTTCATCAACCACCAACGACCTCCGTCGATCACCTCGACCACTACCGACCGTCGTCGACCCCTACTAACCTTGGTCAATCGCCGTCGATCGTTGTCGACCACCGTAGATCGTCGGATCACCGTCTACCATCGTCAATACACGTTGATCGTCGTCAACCACTGTCGACGTCACTGACAACCACCAACCGTCGTCGAGTACTGTTGTCATCGTTAACCATTATCAACCATCATCGACCATCGATGATTGTGTCGATCACCACAAATCATCGTCGACCACCACTAACCAGTGCCCTCAGTTGATGTTGTTACTTGAAAAATCTAGTGGCTCTTTCCCGTATGTGGGAGAATGTGACTCTGCAATCATTAACCTATTGTGAATTTTTACAAATGAGTCAGACCCCTTGGTATTTTTCCTTTACAAAATTTTCATGTAAACAATTATGGTTTCATTTCTGTTGTTTTATTTTACCTGAGTATGTGTTGAATTCTCGTGCAACGAAAAAATGATAATCCATTACTCTATCGCCGTGAATTTTCTAGCACGCATCTATTTGTCATCGTTTGTGGGAAACAAAACACCGTTAAATATTGTCTTCTCTAAGACATTGATCCCCAACTTTATTTCTCATTGATGTATGCCATTTAATTGACAAATGAATATCCTTTGCATCTCGAAGATCATCCCTGAAGTAGTCTTTGATGTGGGGGGCAACATTCACCGCAATCTCGAAAGGCCATTCACGTCAACGTCCCAAACACGATTGTAGGAGGGTTGTCTTCCTGCATCCTATTCAAACACAATATTTCACAACTTCTTCGAAGCTTGGGGGGGCAACCGTTGTTGCAATCTCAAAAGGTCGTTCACGTTAACGTCCTGGGCACGATTGTGGTGGGAAAGTCATCCATTTCAAATTACAAGTCTTCGAAAATCACTGCTGGATTGTAGGGCAGTCTTCATCGCAAAATAATGCTCCCTCGGTGCCCCCTCATCATATTGAAGGTCCTCTTCAACCAAATCAGGAAGTTGATCTCTTTAAGGCTAGACATGGGTTGTTTTATAAGCTCATGTGGAAACACAGTCATCAGATGAGCAATAAATTCAAAAGCAACAACTAACAAGTTGCTAAATATTGTAATTGAATATAATTGCAACCCTATTTCCAAGAGAACATATGGTCCATTGTGACCTACGCCCCAGTCTCAAAAAATACAGAACATCTCTAACACATCATTTTGGGATTAATTGATCCCATGGGAAGTCGATTAGACCTCTTCCATTACAATATCTAGTGGTCAAGCAAAAGCTTCTAAATATAGCCTTGGATAGGTAAAAAAATTATTGGTGAATTTCCATAACAGGTTAGGTCTATGAGTAATAACTTCGACCAACAACCTTAGTGGATTTGCCCATCCCGAGCTAATACCGTCGAACATTTCCGATTAAACAACACAAAACTGGTCATACATCCTTATTGGATTCTTCTTTCCACCATGCCCCTGGAAGTTGAGTCCAATAGACAAGACTCGATGGGAAGCTACGGTGCTCGAAGAAGTTAAGCCCAGGAGGCAAGACCTGATGAGAAGCTACCATGTCATTGAAAGATAAGCCCAAGCGGTAGGTTTCAATTGGAAACTTTTAGTAGACATGGTCTTCACTAGAAAGACTCCAAGTGAGCAAGTGGTTGATAGGGTTTCCACTCAAAAACCTTAGAAGGCTACAAACCTCATAAGGCGTTCATTTCAAAACCCTATAAGACACAAGCCTGGGAGGGCACAACCACGGAAGACACAAACCTCAAAAGATATTTGATTTTTCATTTTATAAAGTGTGTGTGATAACTTTAATTGCAAAATTTCATACGATCGCGAAGCCACAACAAATTCAGAAGCAACATCAATAACAAACAAAGAGTTTTATTATCATCGTTTACGAATGTAACATCAAATGATTCAACATGCTATAAAGACCAACAATAACTGGTATAAAAGCTACAAGAGATATACCGCTTCAGAAACATAAAATTTTCCCCCTCAAACCTTGACGTGAAAACTCTAGCATTTATTCATTTCCACTGAAATGTGCAATAGCAACAAACAAGAAGATCTTGTTGCTTGCCAGCTACACAAGACGTGGACGCATTTCCTCTTCAGTACAATGAGAAAGAAGATACTGTTGCTCGTCTGCTATGCAAAACGGAGACGATTTTCCTATTCATTGCAACGAGAAAAAAGAACCCGTTTCTCGTTTGTTACACAAGATGAAAACGACTTTCCTCTTCGCCGTAACGAGAAAGAAGATCCCGTTGTTCCCCTGCCACGCAAGACAGAGATGACTTTCCTATCCACCACAACAAGAACGAAGATCACATTGCTTGCTCACTACGCACACATGTGTTCATCGTTAAAGGTCTTAGAAATTATCGGCCACATACATGAATATACCAACGTCTGATTTTAAAACATGTTTAATTTAATTTATAATTCCCATGGGCTAAAATCAAAATCAACTCTCAAACTTGAAATTTATTTTAACTTGCAAAAATATAGTTTCAAACCCCCCTTAAAAAAGTGCCTAAAAAAATGTATTTGGCATATACAGTAATATAAAAATTCTGTGCCGTTGAACGAGGAGCTGTGACTTCCCACGGTTCCACCCGAAAATCTCCAATATTTATATATTTCATTTAAAAGGAGAAGGAACCGAGGAGTTAAGGTGAGGACTCATAAAGAACCCACTTCGTCTTTCTAAACTCACTTAAGTTTTCGATTACCGTTCCCTTCAAGCGGAAGTTAGCCAAGTCCGCTTTTTCTTCATGCCCTGATTCACTCTGGGAACTCTACCCTCTCTTTCCTTCCTCGAGCTCCTGCATGGCGCCGGAGTCGCACATGGACGCGGTCAAGGTATGCGCATCTGTTTTTCTTCATTGGCTTGCTAAGCCATCTCTTTGCTGAGTTTTGTAGTTGCGTGCTTTTCAGGTGGCGAAGGTGTTGATGGTGGGGGCGGGTGGGATCGGATGCGAGCTTCTCAAGACCCTTGCTCTCTCGGGCTTTGAAGACATCCACATCGTAAGCGTTGGGATGGCTGACGCCTTTTCTTTCATTAGGGTTTCACTACTTTTGGCTACTTGTCGGTGGGAGTGAGATTTTGGCCTTCTCGTGCTTTAGGGTTTTGTGGACGTGTTTGCTTCAGTTCTTCATGAATGCTGTCAACTCTTTGTTGCGTTGTGTTTTGCCTCGAAATTTTGCATATTGAAGATATATTTCTTTAATTAATGTTTGAAAGCAATTTTCGTGGCTTAGCATTTGGGATGTTAGTAGTTTTCAGTAAGAAGAGCAAATGTGAACTGTTACGGTAATGCAGTTTCTCAGCGGGGTATCACTGGATATGAATTCAGTAACTTTTGTGAATACTTGTGAAGTCCATCTTGATACCGGAGTTAACCCAAACCAGAACTGAAAAATAAATATTATTATTCTAAGCAAGTAAGCGGTTACAAAATCACAACAAAAAATGAAATACAACAACAAACACACAACACAAACAAACTAAACTAAAGCGTATCTCAAGTGCGGTGACCGTGAAAGAGGTAGAGAGTTGGCCGTGGGTGCGATGGGAAAGGGAAGGGGAGTGCTAGTCGGCTGCAGAGAGAAGGTTGGGGACTGTTGACTGCTGTGTGGAGGTTGTACGGGGCTGGGGCAGCGATTAGGTGACAGGGAAATGGTTTGACAAGGCTAGAACAACAGCTAGGATGTGGGGAAGCGATTCCGTGAGGCTGGGACAACTGGTGGGTGGCATGCGAGGGGTTGGCTGAGTGCTGGAATGCGACGGTGGGGGATGATAGCAAGGTGGGAGAGAGCTAGGTTGTAGGAGATTGCATGAAAACAACATGGAGGTTGTTTGCCGGGTGGCTTCAACGAATACGATGATGATGGCGACGAAGGGAAGGGTGGCGTGCTGCCGGGCAGCGAAGAGAGGGCCGTCTGAGGCTGCAACTGCAAGGGTGATGACTGGAAAGGGGTTGCAGAGGAGTTGGATGCAATAAATATCCCCGCAGGATCGTACAACAGTACGAGCATCACTAGAATCATGGGAGAAGGTCATCACCTTGGGCTAGTTACAATCGGAACACATTCGTTCTTCTGGATACAACCCTAGAAGGGGAACATCGGACGCCAATGACAGTTCTGAAAGAAATTTGAGCCAAAATTTGCTCTAAAACATAAAAAAATATAAAAGAAATAGGAGGGAATTGTGCGCTAAGGAGGTATGCCTGATCCCAATTCCATCAAGTCCAAACTGGATGCATGCGACATTTGCCACACCCGTATGGGACTAGCGCCTCCTCGTCCTAGTCAGTGCCCCCCCGCGTCACATCCACTTATCCTTTGTCGTCGTTATCTATGTTATATTGCGTAATTAGGTGTACAATACGACTAACAACTAGGGGTGATTCATTAGGGTATATTCGAGATAAGAGTGACATTTAGGGGTAAACCACCCAATTAAAGAGTTATTGCTGTAACCGTTTCTTTTGTTGTGCCATTCTTGGGAAAACCGATTAGGTTAGATGCTACAGGTCAAATCCTTGTCTGTCATTTTTGGAGAGTGGTCATAGAGGTACACTTGATATAACACTAGCTTTTATTATGAGCTTAGGCTAATTTTAAAATTATCAACCTTGATAAACGATGCTAATGATTGAGAGATTTTGCTCTTAGATTTAAACAATTGATTCTCTTAAAAATATTTAGTTTTTGCAATATTTTTTTTTCTAGAATTTCACAGTTTTATTGGAATTTAAACTTCAAATGATTGTGTTAGGATTTGAGGGCATTTTGATGGTTGGATTCTCTTCGATTGAGATATTTTTTTAGCATGATCATCATCCAGGAATTTGAATAATTATTTTTTGCTATTTCCGTTCTTTACAACTATGTTTGTTTGCTTGCAGAGGATCATACATGCACTCTGCATATGATTGAATTTATTTTAAAATTTATTATGTTGTAGACTTTGTCAACTTTGCTTCAAGCATAGAGTACCGAGTGTAGAGATTGAAATTTATGATTTTCATAGCCTTGAAATTATGACATTACATTTTGAAAATGTTTTTTTTTTTTGGAAAAACTTTGAAGGTCGTCTACATGGTGATATCGAAATTAACACAAACCACAATAATGAAACAAATATTATTACCGAAGGCCAATAGACAGTTACAATTCACACACTAAAAGGGAAATACAACAACAAATACAAACAAACACAACTAAAATGTATCCCAAGGTTGGTGGAGGTCAACGAGGTAGGTTGGGGTGTTGGAAGGTAGTGAATTCAACATGTAAGGTTTCTAGAAGTTGGATAAGTTGCGGTAAGGACGGTTGGAACAACAACAAGACGTCACGGGAGATGGTGAGCAACTAGAACAATAAGAACATTACAGGGAACTATTAGGACAACATCTAGGTAGTAGAGGGTGGTAAGGACGGTTGGAATGGTTGTGGCAGCGAAGGAGGCGAATTTAGGAATGTGGGAGTTCGTGGGAAGGGATAGAAAATAGGTTCTGGAAGCGGCGACCTGTTGAGAGGAAAGGCATGGTGGCAGTGAAGCCAGGAAATGACAGGACATCACTCTTTACTGTCTTGGATGGTTGCAACAAGCAAAAAGTGGCTGGCGGTGGCTTGAAGATGAAAAATGTCAGAAGAAACAACATGACAACAGTTCCGGGAGGCTACAATAGGGATGGAGTGGTTGAGAGTGATTTGGGAGGATGTCAAAGAGGATAAGGGAAGAAAATCACCGCCTTAGGAGAGAGATACAACTGGAGCATCCCCCAATCCCTCAGATACAACCTCAAAGGGAGAAGCACAGATGCGGGCAGCTGTCCTAGATAAAAGAAAACTGAAAGCTTCAAACAAGAGAATCACATAAATAAGCCCTAGATACTTAATAGTGGGGCCCCCTATGCAAAGGAGGCGTCAAAGAATGTTTGGACTGGTTGGTCCATATGAGAGAAATCTTGCGATCGACTTGCACAACTTTTTTATGGCCGTATTATTGCAGCACTACTGTAGCTAGAATCAAAAAATTCTTTTGCTAATTGCAAGACTATTGAAGCACTACTGGAGTCGTCGAGGGAAGCTCTTGTGTCAGTCTCTCGGGATTGAGAGAGTGTCAACCTAATATATCGAAGCTTCTGTCTTCTCATAGTGGTTAGATTGGCTCGTTGAGGTATAAAAAATGGCATAATCTTCTGGTAAGTCGGTCTGTAGGCGGTTCATTTCAAAACACATCCTGATAGAACATAATATCCATTAGTTATTGCTACTGCCTGAGCTGAAGCTACATAAAGACCTAGGCTCTCACTAGACAAATCCCGGATAAGTTAATATATATGTTTCACCCACTTGTAGTTGACTGGATGTGTCTGATAAATAAAGTTGTCAGGAGGAATCAACTTTGGATTGACATCTCTGACATGTTGGAGAACTCTCAGCAGCAATAACTCAGGAGAGTTTTCTTCTTCTTTGATGGGTCTTGGATCCCATTGAAGGGGTTTCTTCCCCATCAATCTTTAAAGACAATTTTTAAAACTGTGATTTATCCCTCATGTCTTGGACAATCATTGTTAATTCAGTTGGAGTTTCTCTCATGGGCTCAACTGTAATTATGTGCATATTTTTCTCATCAATTGGAATCTGACACTCCTCTTTTGAGTCATCACCTTTTTCAGTATCTACTGTGTCATTACTCGGTTTTTCAATAACGGCCTGCTCCATGAAATAAATCATTTCTCTGGCTCTGCAATTTGATTCAATATGCTCAAATCTATGCTACTTGAAATATTTTATAGCTGGGATGGATTTGGGAATGCTGGTTGTTCTACCTGTTTTTCACTCGGAAATAGTTTCTCCTGAGGCGAGGTAATGAGATTGAAACCTGCCTGTAAGTTGTAGTGGCCGCATGGTGATGTGGTCTCTCCATTTTAAAGCCGTTGTCCGAACATCCAGTCGGTAAGAGTTGGTAGGAACTGAAGCTCCATCTCTCGTTTCATCTTGTACCATGTAGCGATCTTAAATTTTCTTTCATGCAAGCGTAAGTGCTTCAGAATTTCTCACCAAAATAATCCACTATTCTTTACGTGCTGGCAGATAGTTTAATCATTCCTTTCGGTGAGATGTCTTAACACTCAAAGACACATTCCAAGGTTCAGTGCCACTCGATAAACTTTTTTGGATTCATTTGATCATCGAAATATGATAAATTTATATTTACTTCTAAATTTTGGTTTTTAAAGATTTTTTCAGTTATTTTCGATCACATCTTCGAGGTAGAGGTTCTTCATTTCTAGAATTTGCATGGTGAAAACGATGCACTCTATTCCTTTGATATAGTAAGTCATCAGTATGGCTATGGTTGACCTATTTGGATTACCTCATTTTAAAAAATGACAAGCCTATTTTGTAGTTCGCGGATTTCCCATTGCACATCCTCCAAAGAAATTCCCTGGACACCTCTTTGGGAATTTATCGTATATGGTATTGTGTCCGTTCCCCTCGATCAAGTTTCCGGCGATTATCTCATTGGTGACATGACTAGGTTTTAAGTGTGGGTAGGTGAAATGAGGTCTGTAAGGGTGATATAGGGTAAGAAAGAAAAAATTTAGGCGGAGATAGGGTTGGGTACGAGTGGATGCTAGAAACCTTAGAATAGAACTAAGGTTAGGTTAGATTTGATACCAAATGATACTGGAGCTAACCCAAACCACAATAAAAAAACAAATATTATTACTGAAATGCCAATAAACGGTTACAACTCACACACTGAAAGGGAAATACAACAATAGAAACAAACAAACACAACTAAAATGTATCCTAAGGATAGTGGGGGTTGGCGAGGTGGGTTGGAGTGGGTAGGTTGGGGTGTTGGAAGGTGGCAAATTCAGCAGATAAGGTTTTTAGAAGGTGGATGAGCTGTCGTAAGGCTTGTCGGTGATAGGAACAACAATAAGGCGACACTGGGGATGGGTTTGGGACATCACGAGGAATGGTTGGGACAATAGCTATGT